GGGGGACCCCCCTGGATCCGCCACTGGTCTGTGCGTATCGCGATCGTGCTGTTGGCGCAATCGGCAGCGAGAGTTTGAATAGCTAAGCAGATGGGCTTGAGCTCCAGCGCGTTTGAGTGGAGAAGAGAGTCTTCGTCATCCCAGGAGCCCCCCGTGGCTCCGTGTTTGCACCAGGCACCCCAGCCTCGTAGGGAGCTATCGGTCGTGATTCAGAGAGAACGAAGCGGGGGCCGGACCGGTCCCGAGGCGACCAGGTCGAGGTCTTCCGTCCACCAGAGGAGATCCTGGCGCGTGTCGTCAACTGACTGAATCCGTCGATCTAGACCGCGCGCGCCCCGAATTGCGGTCGAGACTAATCTTGCGCGGGAGGAGCAGTAGTATCTGACCGAGCGTACGATGGTGGTAAGCGCGTTTAATTTCCCTAAGATACAGTATAAGTCGCGCAGGGTAACCTGGGTAGCGGCGAGGATGTTGTGAATATCCCTTTTTATTTGAATACGCTTGTCCAGCGCAACCGAGAGACGCATAGATGTCGAGTCAATTACATAGCCCAGATAGGTGACTTGCAGAACAGGCAAGAGCGCGCAACTGCCGAAAATCGTGTATCCCGAGGATTGGAGGAGCGTCGTTGCTCGCGAGGCATGAGCCGAGAGTCGACTGGGGTTATCGGCAATTAAAAGGAAGTCGTCCAGATAGACGATGAGAGTGATTTCTTCTTGTCGCAGGTTGGCTACCACCGGTTTCAAGAGCTTGGTGAATACCCGCGGACTAGTCTTGAGCCCGAATGACAAGCGAGACCAACAGAACGTCTGTTGCTGCCATTGGAATACTAGGAAGGGTCTGCTATCCTCGTGAATGGGTATCGAGAGGAAAGCGTCCTGGAGATCGATCCGCGCGGAGTAACAGCCGGTGAACACTGCTTCCCTGATCTCCATCCAACCCTCCATTTCGAACTTGTTATCCGGTATGAAGCGATTCAATGGCTGGGATCCCTTTTTTGCAACTAGCAAGAGGTTTGATATGAGCCGAAGAGGGTCACGGATATGAGTGACGGCTCTCTTCTTGAGGAGCTCTTGCACGATCCAGAGGCTTGGTCGAAACATCTGCGAGTTGATTAGAACCAGCGACATGTTCCAATGTCAGCTCATTCGCGAGCAATTCCTCTCGCACTGATGTGCTTGGACCTTCAAAGAAATTCCGGGTTCTTGGCAAGCTTGACCGCACTGGCATTGTCGACATAAAGCTTTGGTGGAACGCCCCTCAATAGCGATGATTCTGAGGGGAGACGGTTTAGCCATATCAGTTCTTTAGCGCTCCTCGCTGGCCGCTACCATCTCGGCCTCTGTGGTCGAGAGTGCAGTCGTCTTCTGGAGTTGACTCAGCCAGAACACTGCTCCTCCGCATAATAGGGCAACAACTTCGGTTGTTGACCTCCTCGTTGTTCTGCATCCAGCATAGTCGGCATCGCCGAATACCGTCACCGATTTCTGATCGACTTTTTCCAGGATACTACGGACCTCTAGTAGTTCCATACTCCGAGACTCGCCACTCTGGCAGTCGCCGTACATGATGCCGATGTCCGAGGTACCTCTCAGATATCTGAAGATACGCTTCACACCAAGCCAATCAGCCGCACTCGGTTCCTCTAAGGATCTTGCAGCCTTGCTAACAGCGAACGCGATGTCGGGACGTGTCGCATTGGACAGATGCATGAGACATCCCACAGCTTCACGGTACGGAACTTTCGCTGTCAGTTGCTCTACCTCCTCGGTTTCATCCTTGACCGCTGGCGTTGACACTGGATTAGACTCCTCCATTCCGATTTGTTCGAGGATCCGCTTCGTATAGGCCTGCTGAATTATGCGAATTCCATTAGCCTCACAAGAGATTTCCATACCCAGATAACTCTCCATAGTGCCGATGGTGATCTCGAAGACTTTCTTGAGCTCCTCGAGGAAGCTCTCAATCTCGGATTTGTTCTTCCAGCTGCGAGTCCGTCGTCCACATAGATCGCCACGTATGGGGACTTTTCCTTCTGCACGCGGTAGAACAAACACGGATCGGCGTCGCTTTTTCCTAGACCAGCTCCTTCCAAGAATTGAACCAGTCCCTGATTCCAGCATCTTTGCGCTCGTTTAAGGCCATAGAGACTTCTTTTGAGAAGATATACTTCATTCGATCCATCGTGGAATCCTCCAGGCTGTTCAAGATAGACTTCTTCGTCGAGCTTCCCGTACAGGAACGCGGTCTTCACGTCAAATTGAGATAAACTGAGCCGTCTTTGCGCTGCATTAGCCAACAGTGATTGAACGGTGCTCTACCTCGCGACTGGACTGAAGGTTTCGAAGTAATCAATTCCGGGAGTTTGGGCGTAACCCTTCGCACAGAGGCGAGCCTTGAATTTCTCTTTGCCTCCTCCCATGACCTTCATTCGAAGAACCCAGCAACTCTCGACTATTTTCGCGCCCCTCGGACGCTCAACAAGATCCAATACCTAATTTCCCTCGACGGATGCGAGCTCATCTTCCTATGCGGCTATCCAGACTCTACTCGCATGCGTTTCCCCCGAGATCAGAGCCCGATGAGCGGCCTTCGTCACAGACAGGTCCATTTCATAGAGACCTCCGGATAGTTTTCCGCTCGCGACGAGTTTGTTGCACTTCTTCCGAATGCTAACGCTTTCCTTGTCGATAACCGTAACCATTCCTCTTTCCCCTGCCGCGCGGACAGACAGAAGATTTGCGGTTGCGTCGGGCACGAAGAGGACATCATTCAGGGTAGCCACGACATCGTTATTTTGATTGTGGAATATCACCTCCACGACTCCCTCCCCATGCGCGAGCATCTTCACATCTTTCTCCCCGGAAGAAATTCTCTGCGGTTGTGCGATCTCAGTGTACGACGAGAAGCTTCTCCGATTCCAAGTCGAGTTTTCGGACCGCCATTTTTCCGCGAATATTCGCGGAAATTTCCGGCTACTCCCCATAGCACGAGCTACGCCCCATAGCATAGTTTCAATGGAGGCCGCGAATCCCCGCGAATTTGGCGGAAATTTTCCGCGATAAATTTACATCCCTAGTCATCAGTAATGCGGCCTTTCCCTCTCAACAGCTCCCATTGCATCAACCCGAAGGAACAAACCGAGCAACTGTCACAATTTATTCAAGCGAGGCCGACCGCGCATTTTCCACTGTTGTCTTTGGAAGGCGAAATCGGGTTTACTCAGGCTAGATAAACGCATCAGCTGCCGTCCCGATGAGTTCCGCAGAGCTCGATTCCGTCGGAGATACCAAGCAGCATGCTCGGGCAAGCAGCAACATGCCTCTTATCGGTTATGCTGCCGTTATTGGCTACATCGGCAGCTACCAAGTTCGATACGTGCACTTACGACGAAAACTACAGGACGACTCCAGAAGAGAGGAAATTCTACGCCTCCATCGCTCGTAAAATAGCCACGAAGTGCGTAAAGGTCATCCTGGAGCATATGAGAGAGATCCGCGATACCGCACGGATCTTCAACTTAATGACCCCGGGCGCCTGTTTTACGTACAAGGTCTGCACGTTGCTCACCGTCAGCGGGTGAGTCGATTCCACCATGATGTCGTTCCGTATTACGCTGAAATTTCAAGAGGTGGTTCCCGCAGGGATCATTCGCTTCTCCAGAATAAATGGAAGTTCGCTCCTTCATCGACAGACACATGACCGGACGCAGCCGCTACCAACTGAGCCTGAAGGAGACAGAAAAGCTAATGGATTGCAGTATTAGACTCGTGAGACACCTTGATCCATCATATATTGCTGCCGTCTTGAATGTCAGCGAGGTTGAAGTCTCGGAGTTCGATATAATGAACTTCGTCGTGGACATGCTCACGTGCTATCTACGTCATGTCGGGCCAGCTCCGCGGAGCTTCGACCCAGGTCTCAGACTTGCTTTATCATTGTACAAGAAAATTCTGGAATTCATTCAATGAATCAATGTCGCTTGCCTTCAATGATATCGGGACATGAGCCTGTCAACAAGATTATGTCCACCATTCCAAGAGGATGCACCGAATTTCGCGAATTGCAAGAGATCGTATGATTCGAGTGAGAGCAGCAAGGCTCCGGGGAAAAATCTGGGAACTCGACACGTGAGCTGAGCAGGTAGGTATCTTCTGTTGAGCGCCCCTCGAAATCGAATCGAGAATCTCTCGGTTTGAAGTGCGGTCCGACCCCAAACACCGATTCGTAGGATTGGCATGGGGAGTGAACACTCAGTTCGGCAAATTTGTGCAATCGGGTGTCCACTCTACCATATGCGGACCTCCATCATCCCTTAACAGATATCTCTCGGTGATATACTTGAATTCCTCCCGCGGTGGAATTTCAGAGAAACCCGAAGTCTCGAGTGCAGAGGTCTGAGTATGTGTGGCTCTGTCGCCTTGAAGCTCACGCGGCTTAGCTCCTTCCAGAGGAAGGCGCTCATAAGGAGCGGTGGGTCCTCTGCTCACGAGGCTTCAGAGGAATCGGAATACATTCCGACTGGTTCAAAAAACATAATTTTCGAAAATCCGATTCTTACTGCTCGTATCGGACAGCGGTGCTCACGGGGGCGCGTCCCGAATCGGGAGCAGCGAGATTTTTTCATCTAGAAACAGTCTTCGTCATATCTTCCGCTAGCCCGAAGTGCGAGCAGTGAGAGCGTAGGAGACATATCCCGACCGCTGACGCGAGTGTCCCGGAAAAAGCACAGTGCTTGCGTTCGCGGAGTCGCAAATGTTGTGAATCGTCTCGTCAACGTGCTCCAGCTCGGTCCCACCTCCGAGATCACTCCCTCATTCGACCACGAAATCGGCCGACTCATACAATGAAATCACTCTGCTGGCTGCCAATGATCGATCA